TTTTTGGCCACCCTGTCTCTGTAATGTCTGAGGCTATGATCTGTGACCTCTGTGAATCTCAAATTTACCCTCCTCTGAAATGATTTACTGGTTCCTGTCACTTTGTGCTACAGTGAGTGTCCCTAGACCAGTCATTTCTCCGAACCCACTCAAGCATGGCTTTGAGGATTTGTCTAGTACAGTATATGCTTTGCTTGTTTTCCCTTGGCTGAGGAAATCTGTGTAGTGCCCCGCTTCTGAAAGGAGGAATGGAGGGAGACATGGACTCCTTCAAGCCATGCTCCCCCTCTCTGTTTTGTGGACTGTAGCACTAGCCTGAGCTGCTGTCGGCCCTTCATTTCCTATGGGTGAGTATATGTGTAACTGGAAGTCTCTCTCCTTCCAAGTTCTCCTAGGCTTGAGTGGCACTGGTAACCTGCCTTGAGGGAAACCTCCTCTTTACTTCCCAGCATCTGAAGAGCACTCTGAGCATAGTCTACCTTTCTACCATCTTCTCTGGCTCCTTTTGCATAGAAACTGCTTCTCTGTGAGGGCAGGGCCTTCCAGCTCTCTGTATCCTAACATGAACCCCCCACTGAATTCTGATAAAGTAGATCAAAGAAATGTGTATGTCGAGGTTGGAAAATAGATGGTAAATACACAGACCAATGTTGGAATATGAGTTTCTGCCCAAGGCTGGCTAGAGTCCTGAGACTTCTGCACAGGAGAAGGTATGTGAGTAAAGTAGGCACGGAGAGCAGTAAGGGATGTGATCAATAGGTTATTTTAGTAGGTTCTTAATGAGAAACAAATGAAGGAAGTTTCCTCCCAAAGTTGGAAGCAGCACATCTTTTTCTCCTAATGCTTTATATTTAAAGAATATAGATGAAGCATTAGTGTGTGCAATCTTAATAACAAAAACCCATCAATTCATCTGCTAGCCAATATATCCTCCCACTCCCAACCTCCCTCCTATATCATATGGCCATCTACCCATCCATTCATCCACCCATCCACCCATTCATCCATCAATCCATCCCTATCATCTATCATCCATCCATCAATTTCAACTGTCCATCACTTCATCCATCTACTCATTAATTCATTTATTTTTCATCATCCTCCCACCTAGTATTTATCTACCAACTCATTCATCTACCCACCCATCCACCCTCTCATCCATCTATTTTTCCATCCATTCCTATCTGTCTGTCTGTCTAGCATCTTTCCATCTATGTGTGAGTGTATCCACAGGGCATTTACCAATCAAACATTGAATAACCACCAAACTTGTGTCCTTATTTGTGACATGTTCCAAAGATAAGCACTCAGAGAGCTTGGAGTTTAGTCAGGTCAACATGTCCGTGAACTGACAACATATAGAAGGCTGTGGAAGGGGGAGGTCTATCGATACCTGGAAAAGAACATTTCTCTAACCTGCTCCTTTAAACTAGACTCCGTTCACTCTCCCAAGCAGGTACAATAGTGGGAGAACTAAAGGCCCTTATTTTTTGCCTTTCTGATTCCTGTTCTGCCTTTCCTCTTCATTTCAGACCTCTTGGCATTCCCACATTTTTTGAGTGCCTTGATCTATTGTGATTATAAGCGCTGAGGGACAGGAGGGTTTACTGAGTGTCAACCAGGCCCAAGCTGAAGTAGCACTGTAGACTTCTCTCTGATGTGGGAGTGAGTCCACATGTGTGGTCCATGAATGTCTGAAGAGATCTTCATACCATCAAGGACTCTCATCTTTTAGTTAAAGCATTTTAGAAGAAAAACAAAAACAAAATAACATGACAAAACCCCCAAACTCCATACCAGTTCATAGGTGACTCATATTCCCTTGTAAGAACATCTCCTTTACAAGATTGTATTCTAGAGGTGGAGAAGAAACATCAGTACAACCCTGAAGAGGTAGGTACTCCTGAGGGCTGTTTTGCTGGCAGGGTTAGGAAGCTAGTCTTGTTCATTGATAAAGCATTTCTCTAAGCTTGAAATCCTGGGGACATAGTCTTGTTATCACTTTTGCCATGGGACAAGGACAAGTTCCCAGTGGTGGGAGTGTTTGATGTCAAATTTGTGTGCTTCAGCCATCTGAAGAGTAACAGCCATGACCTTGGCATGTAGCTTCCCTTCAGGCTGGGACCTCTGCTATGGTAGCAGGACATTCTGGTCATTTCTCTAGTATCCATCCAGTTTTCACTCCTATGTCATGAAATCCATGGAAATCACAGCAAGGACACAGCTCAGTGGCAGACAGACCCAAACTCTGATTATTGGCTGGCATAGAGGAGGTGATCAGCTCAGCCTAGACGTGTTATAGAGGATAAGCTAGCTAGTTTGAGCTTGTACAGGCCTAATACAGCAGACATTTTTGATGTTCTACATCTCTTTCCTTTGGTCTACTTCTGACTTCAGCTTCAGTTGTGAGGGCTGGATCCTGCTCCAGTTTTTATCTAGGAATCTGCTTCTGTGACTTCATGTTAGGATTAATGACAGAGAATAATACATGAGGTCCTGGGGTAGTTAGGGAAGGGTGAATGATGAGGTAGAAGTAGCAGGGGCTCTTCTTGTAGTACAAGGAGCCTGTTTGTTCTCAGGAGTCCTGTGAGGTCAACGTTGCATCCTAGTTCTCTCCATTCATAGCCGGTGATGTTCTTCTGAAATATTTTTAACAGGCTTCTTATTACTTAGGGGTGCAAAGACTGGTCCCTTTGACCAAGTTTGTCTGACTGATTATGCAAGATATCAATAAAGGACACCAAACCTGTCTAGGAGTATATGTTCTCCCCCCCCCCCACAGACACTCACATCTCTTTACCTTTTCTCTTCTCTTTTGTGCTTTGATGTCTTCTTGGAGGATGAAGTATCATGAGGAGAATTCCTTGAGAATAAGGCTTCCCTCCTCCATATGGACGGGCCCCTTCAGGTTTCCTTAGACTATGGTACCCAGTCTTCCAGCTCATCCAAAGCCAGGGGGTGAGCCAAACCTCTACCATCTTTGGATTGATGAAGAGGCTGGCTCTGTCACATCAATGCTACTCTTTACAGCAGTATTTCAGTTTCTCATTTGCCATGTTCATGGAAACCTGCCTGGGATGAGGAGGGAATGAAGAAAGGGCAGACACACATACAGAAAAGCTGGGGTCAGGGGCTCTGATGGAGTGGTACCACCTACAACAACAACCTAGAACCCCCGTGCGTTTATTATGTACAGCATTTATGATGTTAGCTAGTCAGAGGATGAGGTCTCTGCAAGCACGGTACTCTGAACACTGGGGGGAAGAAGCTTCAGTTGTTAGTTTTAAACACACTGGTCCATAGTTTGTGAACACTTGTTCTTGTATACAGTACCACATTTGCACCTGAACCAGAGGAAAGCTTGGTCAATTCTAAGCCTGGCCTGTTTGGGGAGAGCTTTGGCAGCTTCCCACAGGTCTGATGCATTTGTCCTAGACATGGCTATGCCTGTGCTGACAATACAGATTTATTTCGGGCTTTATCTGTTTCTTTGTTATTATTATTGTTTTCTTTACATCCACTCAGGGCTTCCTCAGCTCCCCACGCTCATAACTCTCACAAGCTCTGTGCTAGAGCTGTTTCATCTATGGGTCAGTTTCAATGACATTGGCCAATCTAATTGACAAATCCTGGATGCATCCAGGATAGCATGGCCCATCAGTCATAGGAATCTCTGCCACTTCCTCACTTCTGTACCATCATCCAGGCCCCTCGTCACTTTGGATCTATCAGTGGCTGGGGTGGTCTTGCCTATGTCCAGGCTCAATCACCAGCTTTCTGTGCATAGCTCCATCAGTGCCATCCGTCTCTCCAGCTCCTCCTTCCTGCTCCTCCTTAGTTTATACTAAGTGGCTCTGCATGGCTGCATCGTGGCCTCCTCTTGATCCTTTCCGATCATATTGTTAGCACTGTCAGATTGGATGGAGAAGTCAGCCAACCATGGCCCTCGGGCTGAATCTAGCACATTGTTTATTTGGAGCCATGTGCTTATGAGTCACCTCTTGATTCTTTCAGGCTTTAACAGCAGTGTTGAGCAGTGGTCAGACGAGACTGTAGGACCTCCAAAGCCTGGTTTTTACTATCTAGTCCTTAACAGAAAAGTTTAATGGCCTTTAAGACCTCTGTGGAGTGATGGGGGAGAGTCTTCTGTTTTGTGTTAATTTCATTGGTTAAATAAAGAGACTGCCTTGGCCCTTTGATAGGACAGAAAAATTAGGTAGGCGGAGAAGACTGAACAGAATGCTGGGAGAAAGAAGCCGAGTCAGTCAGTCTCCATGATTCTCCCACTGCAGACAGACGCAGGTTAAGATCTTTCCTGGTAAGCCACCTTGAGGTGCTACACAGAATATTTAAAATGGGTTAGATCAATATGTAAGAGCTAGCCAATAAGAGGTTAAAACTAATGGGCCAAGCAGTGTTTAAAAGAATACAGTTTCTGTGTAATTATTTCGGATAAAGCTAGCCGTGTGGGCGGCTGGGTGCCAAGATTCAGCCTGCAGCTCCATCAACAGTGGAGGCTTTGATCCTCTATACTTGTATGCTTTTAGGTATATTAGGCAATCACTTAGCACATTCATCTTTATCTTATACTGCTTTGTGTCCTGTTATCTGAACAGGTGATGTACCTGCTTGCAAACCTAAATCATGATGCGGATCACATTCTTTTTCCTTGTTGCTATGTGGATGTACCCCTACCTCTATTCCTGAGAGAGATTAGGTATTTTCTTAGCCTAATGTAACCATTTCTTTGGTTGTGCTGCTAAAATAAAATAAAGGGAGGGAGGGAGGGAGGAAAGAAGGAAGGAAAGAAGAAAGAAAAGAAAGAAAGAAAGAAAGAAAGAAAGAAAGAAAAATATCATGGAGTCAGGGGTTCTTTGTACACAAAGCTCACAGCACTGGAGAAGATACTGTTGCTTTCCACACCACCCAGGCTTTTGCTCCTCAACTCATTCTTTAGAAATGCATCAGAAGAAAGAGTTTCACTCTCTTTCTCTTTACAGATCTCCAATCTCTACCTGTATGACAGTGTTCTGATGCTGGCCAACGCCTTCCACAGGAAGTTGGAGGACCGGAAATGGCACAGTATGGCAAGCCTTAACTGCATAAGAAAGTCTACCAAGCCATGGAATGGAGGGAGATCCATGTTAGACACGATTAAAAAGGTATGTGTCAAGGGCACTGCTTTGTAAACTTGTACAAGGCTAGAGACAAGTCCCTTGATGTGTCCTGTCTAAGTTGGTATGAAATTATTTTGTAGTGTGTCTTTGTATGTGTGTGTGAGAGAGATTGCCTGAATCCTCTTCATTGGCTTCTCTTTTTGTCACTCTTCCTATGCCTTTTTGAAAGCTGATAAATTGTGGTCCAGGGACATGTTCTTCAAATGTCTCTATGCTTTCAAGAGATGTGGCTTCAGAAGGTAAATGACTTGCCCAAAGTCACAAGTAAGTGAAGTCATAGTTGCCCATCCTATTTCTGCCCAACACTCTTTCATGCAAGCTGTCACTTTTCAGAAAAAGCTCATCTTGGTGGTATGGCCATATGTTGCTTATCCAGGACCCCAGCATGCAGATGTATGTGGGACTGTGCATCCATCCGTGCCCATGTGTCTATGCATTCTGCACATGTAGTGTGTCTTATGTGATGGAGAGTGGCAGTGTATCAGAGAAGAGGTTCAAAGTGAATTGGGGTAACCCACAGGACAACTGTTAGAGTAATGGGCTTTTAGGGGCTCCAGATGGGCTTTTAGGGGAATCTACAATGCCAGAAGCCTTAGCCACAACAGATTGTGCATGGTTTCAGTTGCAATGGACATGTCCCAGTGGCGCTTTAAGTTTACTGCAGCTCAGAGAGAGCAAGGCCTCTCCTGGACCAGTGCACTTTATCGTGTTCTCCATGTTCCCTGAAGCCACAGGCAAGAAGACTGGGTAAGGTCGGCACCCAACACTGAAAAGCAAAAGGGAGAGCGTCATGACTTGCTTAGTCTCACACTAATGCTCCTTCCACTGTACTGTAGAGAGACAAATACAATCACATTTAAATTTCAAGAGTAGCACAGCGCTGGCACATAGCAATAGCTGTAAACACACTGACTGTAGTAATGGCAGGTAAAAGCCTTTGGGGTTTCTTCTGTAAGATTAAGACATTTATCTTGCTTTGATGTCCTAGGATTGTTAATGGCTCTGTCCTTGCTATGGCCACTCATATCTGCTCCCTTCTTGGTCACTCCATTCTCTACCACACCAAACTTTTCCTCCTCCTCTGCAGGGACACATCACTGGCCTCACAGGAGTTATGGAGTTTCGGGAAGACAGCTCGAATCCCTATGTCCAGTTTGAAATCCTTGGCACAACCTATAGTGAGACCTTTGGTAAAGACATGCGCAAGGTAAGCCCCAAGGTCCTCACATCTTAGTCTTCTCGCCTCCGTGTCTCTGAGGACAACAACAGCTCTAGTTGGTTCCTCCCATTCCCAGCAAGGGATGCCTGCCAGGGGAAGCCCTTCCCTGCTTCTCTTCTTGATACTACTATTAATGCTGATGATCCTGAGAAATTTCCAGGGGGAGGCAGAGAAGATTCAGGCAGGAAGTGCTAATATCACAGACCTGAGTCCAGCAGGGGTTCCTGGGAACTATTTCCAGATCCATGGATTAGTGGGGAGCTGCCTAGATGCTAAGGGGGACCGCAGGTTTCCTCAGACTTGAGAAGTAGCCTAGCTTCTGAGACAAATGTGAATTGTGGCTGAGGCTGGGCCAGAAGGTAGAGCCAGGGTGTCTGCCAGACTCAGGGTTGACACAAAACCACCTAGAGTTCGATGAAGAGGGAAATGAGAGCCAAGAGTGGAGGATGACTCAAGATATGGCTTGGCTTTTTCATTTGATGCATCCCTGACAGTTTAGAAGCATATTTCCAGTGGCACTGATAGACAGCTAAGATGTCGTCGTTATAACAGTGGAGGGCTTGGAAGAGTATTCAATAGACAGCCCTCAGACAGCATCTGGATGAGCCGAGTGGGAGCTTATAATGGGTAGGAAGGAAGGGCAGAACCTGATACCCGGTGCCTGGTCTACTCAGCTGCCTGTAAGCTTTTCCAGAAATGTTCTTTGCAGGAGGACCATGTGCTTGTTGGGGCCAGAGAGGCTAGTGTTCATGTGTAGGAACTCAGTCCTCTTGGGAAAGAATGAAAGCATTCATTGATTGGTCTACTCGTGGAACAGGCTCTTGTAATTACACCTAACCTTTGCCATATACTTTATGTGTGTGTGTGGGGGATGTCTCCACCAGTGATAGTGCTTCAGAAATAATGGCCATCCTTGTCAAAAATGAAGCCTTAGCAGGTGATGCATAAGCTCTTATCAGAGAGACTTGTAGACAAGTTAGGGACAATGCAGAGGTAGACAAAGTTTAGAAGATAATGATGCACCACTACCTGGGTAGAGAACTTTGATCTCCTTTCTAAAGGATCGGTGAAGAGGGGTGAACTGTGGAATAGTGGAGAAATGAGATCTGCAGCACAGGAAATGGGCAGTGACAGCACCATGGGAGAGCTGATTCTCCGGGAAAAGGCCACTGTGTCCTGGAGTCCCAGTATAATGAGCAGAATAGGGCCTCTTAGCCATCCTGCATTGGAAGATGGAGTTATAAGTTGGTCATATCAAGTCTAGGGATGGCCAATACGTAGATTGATGGCATCTTAGAAGCTAACAGTTTGTGGTGCCACCAAGAAGGTTAATGACTATGCTGCCACACCCAATAGAATTGAAGTGTGATTGCCAATGTCAAGGAGGCTGAGGCTCGCTTATGGTATCTCTGAGGAATTGTCCAAACCTGTGACACTTGGTTGAGGGCTAGAGGTGAATAGTTGGTACTGGTCTAAGCAAGACTATAAGAAAAATTGCTTTTGGTTTAGATTTTCATCTGTTCAGAGGCGAGAAGGAGAGGGGACCTCACTCAGCCACTCTGATGTGATTGAGGAGTATGATGGTCTCCCGAAACCGCTATTGACATCAGCTCAGGGTATAGGTACATGCCATCCTTGAGTGCTACGAGTATGTGCCATCCTTCTGAGTTAGGAACTCTAGAGTCTTGTCTGCTTGTTCCTTCATTATCTCTCACTCCATTCTTTTAGTTCAGCTCCAATTGCAAGGCTCCCACAGCCTGTGAAATGTTGACAATGGGTCTTCTGCTTCTTCTTAGACTGCTTAAGTCCCATGAGCCCCCTGTTTGTACCCTACCAGCCACTCTGAGTCCTTGAATGAGGGGGAGCATGGTGTGCTTCACTCCCCATTTCAGGTGTCTGGGCCTTCTGTGTTGCTAAGGCAACATCCTGTAGCCAGTGGGAACTGGAATCTCCCGGTTATAGGAGCTTCGGAGCAGGAGGTCTAGATGTAATTGAGTTGGGAGGGAAGCTGATTTTCAAGTGGGATTTATTTTAAAATGTATTCTTTTGTCATTTTAAAGCCTGTCCTTAATAACTGCATATCCCAGTTGTTATCTGTCTGCCGAGCAGCTCATCATCAGGAACGAGAAGCTATGTGGGAGGCAAGGAATAGGATTTACTATAACAAGCATTTGCTGTTATGACCCAGAATGTATACAAGAGCAATGGGATGGGCTTTAGGATGAAGCAAGGAGAACATATTGGGAGTAGGTGTCAGGGGCATACTGCAGCCTTGGAAGGAAGAGTAGGGCTTCAGTGCCCCGGTAGAAAATAATGGGAAGCCAGGGTGCCTTAGGAATGTGATAAAAAATATTGATAGAGGGTCAAAATAACTGGGAGTGGGTGTAAGACTTGAGAGTAGTTTGGGGATGTTCTGAGCCATCAGTGACAATGTAAAGACTTGTCTTTTGAGGAACCCCATAGATGGTAGTTTTCTTTGGCCCCTTACTACACATGATCACCAGGAGAGCCAGCTAGAAAGTTGGCTAGCTGCTGCTTGCTGGGTGAAGTGTGTGCGTTCCTGCCAAGATGATGCGTGCCACATATATTTGAATTGAAATGCAACAAAGGCTAATAAAAACCAAGAGCTTTCTGAAGATTGAAACTGTGAGGAATCATCTAAGTGAGGGAACATAGAGAAATTTTTTCTGAAACTAAATACCTTAGAGAGACCTCTCTGAGAGGGTGAGTCACCTAGCCGCTTTAGATTGAGTGGCATAGGGAGGCTGCATTACTCAGCCCCTGTATAGGAAGGAGTAGGCGGTGGCTTTTCCCCGCAGGCTACTGGACAGATACTGATTAAATTATCTAAACTGGGAAAAGTGTTCTTGTTGAGGGAATGCTGAATGGCCAAATCAAAAGTCTATGAGGTAGTTCACCGCCAACCTGCTGTGAATTACAGACAGGTGTTAATCTTCTGTCGCTGGGATTGGCCCGTGTCTGCTAAGGGGGCAGTGTTTGCAAGGAGGTCTCTTCCCATTGCAGAAGAACTGGTTGGTTTGTTTGGCTGGTTTCCACTGTCTATTCAGTTGGTGACTTGCTTTTTCAGGCCTCAGAACTCTTAAGAGTCCACACATTTTCTCTTGCTGTGATACTTCTTGCCAAACAAGCAGAAATATCCGAAGGACAATAAGCTTGTCTGTATAAATGTCCTTAGGTTATGACATGAACAGGGACAAATACATTAGAGGCCAGTGTGGCAAAATTTCCCGGGATGGGAATATATGGAAATCGCTTGGCCGAGAACAGGAGGGAGTGTAACAGAAACCATTGAATATGTACTGAATACAAGAGTACATTCTAAGTATGGGTCCTTATTGATGCCAAAGCCATTGGGTCTTCCTTGTCCCACCTCTCCTGAGTTTCAGTAGCCCCTTTTCCTTACAGGGTCTTCCTCAAACAGAATTTCTGGTAATAATCCTCATCCTCAGGATTCTTTGCTTGTGAGGCACCATTAGAGTAATTATCCTGCCTGGCTCTTATTGGGGAGAATGTTCCCTTTGGTTGGTTCCTCAGCCTTAGCCACGTGCGGTCATGCTTCTTTGAGTGCAGAACAAACAGATGCAGCTCCCAGCTCTGCTGCGTAGTTTTCTGGGCTACAACATTTCATTACACTGAGTGCCAAAAGCAAGGCCAGAGATAGGTAGCCTAGCCCTTCCAGGTGTAGCTGGGATTACTAAATTCAGTGTGCCAGGCTTGTGCCCAGTTCTTCTTACATGCCCAGGAACAAATTTCCACGATTTCAAAAAGACCCAGGTGCGAATTGAGGCCTAAAAACTTCACTTTTAAATGCGATTTTCTACTGGGGGCTGTATTGGTAAACATGGATATTAGATCCTGCCCTTTGCCCCAAGCATGGTGTTCCTGGATTGTGACACCAGCTGAAGCCCGGAGGACCATCTCCCATTACCCAATCACTGAGAATGCCTGCCATTCTCTTCCCTGCTGGCACTGGAGTGGGGCCTTGGTTCCTTCTATTAACACAGGATCCCATGTGCAGCAGGACTCCGGGAAACGAGCCCACTGCCTACAGGTGCTTGGAACTTCATTTCCCTGGGTGGCATCCTCTTGATTCACTGGCTCAGTAGAGAGTAGTAAATTCGTTTGCGAGAAGGGTAGGGAAGAAGGAGGAGCATCCACGCAGCCTGTGGGGTTTGCTTTCAGACCTATACACTAGGATTGAGGAGACCCTGGGGGTCGCTTTAGACAACTTGAGGAGAGAATTGAATGAGAACCAGGAGAGGCAGAGAAAGTGTTCAGCTCAGTGGCATTTAAACTTTTCCTCTGGCCTCGCAGGTCTGGTCAAGCAAGCTCTTCCTGGGACCTGATATATCAGATAACTGTAGAGGACACATACTACGGTCGCAGCAGGCAAGGAACTTGGGTAGGGAGATCTGTACTTTGTTTTGCAGCAACTCCTCTCTGTCCTTCACAGCTCTGCGGTTTGATGTAGACCTTTTCCCTTTTGAAAATTGAGGCCCACAAACTAGAAAATCTTAACAATATCTGTGACCATGCAAGTGCCTGGAAGGTAGAGGGACAAGAGGGGAGGGAGAGGAGGGAGGAGGATGGAGGAAGGAAGAGAGGGTAAGAGGGAGAGGAAGGAGGAGAAAGGGGGGTGTTGAACACGAGGCACTACAGTTTTGTGATTCTGTCCCTCCTAGTTCTTCCATTCCAGTGCCCCTTCTCCCTTAGGCCAGCACATAGGGCATTGCCATCCCTTCCTGCTGGCCTGGGCCCACTAGCTTCAATTCCTTCACTTCAGCTTGGTCAGCCTTCCCATTCCAACAACTCCCCAGGGAGAGGGGAGGTCTCCATCCTCCTGTCCTGTTTCATGCTGCTGCTTTTATCTTGTCAACTCTGGTTCTTTATGACAGCTGGAGGTAGACAGGAATCTAACAGTCCCACCGTGATGAGATGTCCCTGGAAGGACCTTGTGGCTACTGATA